TATAAAAAAAAAAAAAAAAAAAAAAAAAAACAGTATGCAAGTTTTCTCCATTAATCAAATACACATGCTGGTATATACGGTGGCAATACAGTAACGAAAAACTAAGACGTAGAAGCGTACGAATACGAAAGCGTACCTCGTTACGCGCGCAATCGAAGTGGTGAACGAGCGCATCCACCAACTCGTTCCCTTCGAAGCAATTCTTAACCATCTTCATCCTCTTCAACCGGTCCTGAATCGGCAACCTCTGCCGCAAAACCCTAACCGCCGCAACCAACTCGTCGGCGCGATCCTCCTCGGGGCAATCGAAGCCGTACGCCGGCGGCAACAGCGCGTCGTCGCCGGCGAGCTTCCCGGCGAGCATCTCCGCCGCCCTCCGGTCGAACTCGCCGCTGTTCCTAAGCGAGTTGAGCGCGACGAGGCCTCCGATGAAGGTCTCGTTGAAGAAAATCTGCGGTACGGAGGCGGTCCCCGTCCTCTCTCGCAGCTCCCTCTCCCGCTCGCGGAAAACGTCGACGTTTATCTCGACGAAGCGCAATCGCTTCTCCTTGAGGAAGCTCCGCACCGCGGTGCAGTCTCTGCAGTGGGACCTCGAGAAGAAGGTGACGCGTCCTTTTGGCGACGGTTCCTTCTCCGGCTTCGGCGTGGCGACGACCTTGACGCCGGAGAGGTTGAACTCGGTGACTTGGCGATTGTGGTGATCGTCTTGGAGGGATTGGCGGAGCGAGGAGACGCGCTTGACGATGGCGGCGGAGAGGTGGGTGCTGCGCTGGCGGAGGAAGGTCCCGACGGAGAAGGCGGGCGGAGCGACGTCGTTTTGGAAGGCGTGCGGTGGGACTGGGAGGGGGAGAAGGGAATGGGGCGGGGATAGAGTCACCTGGCTGTCGGAAGCCATAATGGAGAGAGAATGAGGGGTTATGGGAATGGTGAAATTGGAGAGGTTTTATGAAGTGCAAGATTTGGATTTGATAATAAATTAATAATTGATCTTGTTAGGAATATACCAGGAAAAAGTCAAATTTCGGAATAGACAAACTTTTTTTTTTTTTTTTTTTTTTTTTTTTTGTGTTAAGATTCAATCTTTTTGATATAATAAAACTTAAGTAGGTTGAGTTAAAATCAAGACAGACTTCAAGATTTTTTGAAAGTACTTATAAATTATTTATTAGTGAGATGTTCAGAAATTTACGATCATATATATATATATGCACTTCAACATTTAAAATTATGAAGTTAAAATTTGATTTTTAAATTAAAGATATATATTATTAAAGAAAAATTTTTTTTTTTTTTTTTTTTTTTTTTTTTTGTGTTAAGATTCAATCTTTTTGATATAATAAAACTTAAGTAGGTTGAGTTAAAATCAAGACAGACTTCAAGATTTTTTGAAAGTACTTATAAATTATTTATTAGTGAGATGTTCAGAAATTTACGATCATATATATATATATGCACTTCAACATTTAAAATTATGAAGTTAAAATTTGATTTTTAAATTAAAGATATATATTATTGTTTTCTGTTAAGAAACAAAGTATAATTGTTTTTCTTTGGACAAAAAAAACCGGTTTATATAAGACATTCCATTTTAACTATATGATTTGATATTTGTATAATATTATATATATATATCTATTACTAAAGGTACTATAATTATTTTAAGAAAAATTCTCGCTTGGGTCCACTTTTTTTAATATATTTTTTTTGTTTTTTAAATTCAAACCTTTTCATTCATAAAAAAATTTAAATATTTCTTATAAATTATGAAATAATTTTACTAATATTTAATAAATTTAATTATGCCAATTAAACACACAAATAATCTTGATTATTTTCAATAGAATGTCTCCTATTCTGGACATTTTAATTTAAATTATTATATTATATCAATTATATATTAAACACTAACATCTATTTTGTACAAGAGTGTTTATAGGTATTTTTCTTCAACGAAAAGGTTTGTAAGAATTTCTTTAATTTTTATCTAATTTAATTTTTATTTATCATAATTATTTATGAATTAAATATTAATATTTTAAATAAATTATCAATAATTTGTATTATAACAAAAATTTATCATAAATCTAAAATATAATTTATGTTTAAAAATATTTATGTATACTAATTTTAAATATAATTTATATGCTCAAACATAGTATTTATTTATATATAATTTATTATAAATTTTAATTATATATAATAAACATGTTTGTACCAATTATATTATATTTATATATATTATTAAAGAAAGAATAATATCTTTCAAAATTTTCCTGCTTTTTTTTTTTTTTTTTTTTTTTTTTTTTGTGTTAAGATTCAATCTTTTTGATATAATAAAACTTAAGTAGGTTGAGTTAAAATCAAGACAGACTTCAAGATTTTTTGAAAGTACTTATAAATTATTTATTAGTGAGATGTTCAGAAATTTACGATCATATATATATATATGCACTTCAACATTTAAAATTATGAAGTTAAAATTTGATTTTTAAATTAAAGATATATATTATTGTTTTCTGTTAAGAAACAAAGTATAATTGTTTTTCTTTGGACAAAAAAAACCGGTTTATATAAGACATTCCATTTTAACTATATGATTTGATATTTGTATAATATTATATATATATATCTATTACTAAAGGTACTATAATTATTTTAAGAAAAATTCTCGCTTGGGTCCACTTTTTTTAATATATTTTTTTTGTTTTTTAAATTCAAACCTTTTCATTCATAAAAAAATTTAAATATTTCTTATAAATTATGAAATAATTTTACTAATATTTAATAAATTTAATTATGCCAATTAAACACACAAATAATCTTGATTATTTTCAATAGAATGTCTCCTATTCTGGACATTTTAATTTAAATTATTATATTATATCAATTATATATTAAACACTAACATCTATTTTGTACAAGAGTGTTTATAGGTATTTTTCTTCAACGAAAAGGTTTGTAAGAATTTCTTTAATTTTTATCTAATTTAATTTTTATTTATCATAATTATTTATGAATTAAATATTAATATTTTAAATAAATTATCAATAATTTGTATTATAACAAAAATTTATCATAAATCTAAAATATAATTTATGTTTAAAAATATTTATGTATACTAATTTTAAATATAATTTATATGCTCAAACATAGTATTTATTTATATATAATTTATTATAAATTTTAATTATATATAATAAACATGTTTGTACCAATTATATTATATTTATATATATTATTAAAGAAAGAATAATATCTTTCAAAATTTTCCTGCTCAAAACTAAAATCATATAGTTTGGATTCATTTTTTTCTAAAACTTTTTTGTCTTCTAAAATTTAAACCTTTTCATTGATAAAAAAAAATTCAAAAAATTATTAGAAATTATAAAATAAATTTATTAACATTTAATAAATTTAATTACGACAATTAAATGCAAATAATCAAGATTATTTGCAATAGAATGATATTCAATTATGTACATTCAAATTCAAATTATTATTATTATTATTATTATAAGAAATGTACATCTACTTGTACATAATCCATTCCACATTTTGACATCCCATGACAATTTTCATTGGTGTTAGAAATTTCAAAATCACATGACGTAAAGACTTTAAGAAAATGGGAAAACACAAAGATTTTAAGTGCACAAATTCTTTATTTTTCTAAATTTTTCTCCTTTTCATTAAATGTTATTTTTTTTTATCAAACATATTTATTTTTAATGTAGATAAAAAAAAATTGTGAAATCACATAACGCAGATGAAAGAAATGTGAACTTGTAATATGCATAATTTTTGTCATGTACACAAATGGAAGACTTCATATTCTGTTTTCTCTTATCTTATAATCCGCTTAATGACTATTTTCATCTTTGATTAGGAATTTTAGAATTGTAAAACACAAATAACTCATAAATATATTCTCGCTTGTATATAATTTTATTTTCTTTTTTCTTTTTTATCTTTTGATATCCTGTTTAGTATCAATTTTCAATATTGACATAAAAATTGCATAATTACAAAAACACAATGATATCAAGTATCCAAATTATTCGCTTTTCTATATTTTTCTCCTTTGCTTTAACTCTTAATTTTTTTTTCTATCACACGTAATTATTTTTAATGCAGATGAAAACATTGCGAAATTGCAGAATGCAAATGGGAGAAATGTGGAATTGTGGTATGCATAATTTTTGTCATGTATGTAGAGACTTAAGACTCCAATTTTCTTGATAAAAAATGTAATGTTTCTACAATTATTATAGAGTAGATAATAATTTTAAAATGTATTTAATTAGTATTAATATATATATATATATATATTAATTAAGAGATTAAATTTAATTAAATTATTGGTTAAAAAAATTATTATAAAGAGTAAAATAATTAATATTTTTCATAACATATAATAAATAATATTAATTATTATACTTAATCGCTACATCACATAATAATTAAATATATAATTGATATTAATTATAAGCACTTCTCGTGTCTTCTCTATCGTATATTATTTTTTTTCTTTTTGTTCATTTCTCACATTTATTTATTCTTCTTTCTCTCTTTATTTTTTCTCCTATCTTTTTTTATCTATCAATATTTTATGATTTTATTTTTATCTATCAATATTAATGTGTAATTTATCAACCAGATAATTATGAACCATTCTACCAATCTTCATCATCTTAGGAATGTAGTCTACTATCTAATTCCCTTTTAAGTTCAAAGGTTCCCATCAGAAAATCAAGCTATCAAAAGAGAAGTGGATTCAAGTGCAAAGGGAGTTTTAATTCAATTGGTATCAACAATCACATCAAAGTTCTAAGTACTCTTTCTATTGGCCTTGAGACTATTGCTGTGTAAATTTTGAAAAAGTATCTAACATATTGAAGAAAAAAGAAAAAGACAGAGAGAATGATGAGAAAGATAATAATATTTGGTATGCTATAAAAGATATCCCAAATTTGAATGAAAAAACTTGTTTTACGACTGTTGATTTGCTTGATACTAAAGTAAAGAAAGACACTTTATTTAAGATGTCATTAGAAGAATGTTCATCTTGGATGAACTTCAAGTTAAAATGATTAATACTTTGTTGAACTATATTTTTTTCAAGTGTCATTTTGATTATATTTTTTGTTGAAATATATATTGGATTTATATTTTGGTGGAACTATAATGGTTGAACTTTAATAATATATAAAAGAAATTTGGATTACATCATAGATATTGATGGTACTCATATTTCAACAATTGTGAAAGAACAAGATGTAAACAAGTATTGTAGTTGTCATGAAAAGATATGCAAAAAATTGTATTAGCGCTTGTAACTTTGATTTGGAATTTATATATTCTTAACGATGAGAGGGTTCAACTCATGATTCTAAGTAACTAAGTAATTTTTTGACAAGAAGAAATGGACTTAAAGTGTCCCAAGGTAAATATTTTTTTAATAATAAATATTTTTTTTTTAACTTTTCATACTAATTTTATGTGTTGTAAATGTAATTAGATAAGTTTTTTTAGTGGACTGTGGATTTCTTAATAGACCCTAATTTTTAGCTCCATTTTGAGGTGTGCAATATCATCTTTAAGATTTTGCAGGTCATGGTAATGACCCTCAAAATGAAAATCAAGTGTTCAATTTATGTCATATGTCCTTAAGAAATCCTCATCGAAAAGATAAATGATAATTTTAAATCATATTTCACAATTTTTAATTTAGCACCTCCATTTCTATTTAAGATACAAGCTTAACTTATAGTAGCGTGTGTAACATTGGATAACTTTTTTTTTTTTTTACAAAGAATGTTATTCTGATGAATTTCTAATTAAATTAATATATGAATCTTTAAATATTCCATAACTTCATTTAAATAAATAATTTTATTCATTTGAATTAATGTGTAACATTACATAACTTCATTTGAATAAATCAAATTAAC